AACATTGCTTGTTGTATGCGATTGCAGATTTTTTTTCCAATCGTTTATTCAAATCATTGGTTGCTCATGATTGCACATGTCAAGGACAAACAAGTGTACATTGTTGATTCTATGGACAATTACAAAACCTTCTACCAAGGTTTGATGCAATCTGTGGTGAGTAAACTTCAAAAGCGTACCTTAGCTTCATTTCCGAAGAAGGTAACATATTTCTAACATTCGATACTTGCTGTATTTATTTCCTTTTTTAGGAATGGATTTTGATGGAAATTTTCCACGAAAATCAACCCTGGACATTTATTCTTATAAAACACAAACTAAAACAGACAGACGCGGCGAGTTGTGGGGTTTTCACTTTGAAGTTTGCGCAATGTTGGGCAAAGGGGTGTCGGCCACAATTTGTAAGTGCACAAATGGACAACCCCTTGTGGCAAGCTCACTCTATTGCGTCTGACATTGTTTCTGAATGTATGTACAGCTTGATATTGTCATTGCTAGAAAATTTATTGCCTGAGAGATCGCTTTGGGGAAACTTGCGGACCCGTCCGCTTATGCTGCTTTCCTGATAGAAAATAAACAGGCACATGAGGCTGTAACCAGAGGAGATTTGCAAGATTATGCTACCAAGGATGTGAGGCATCAGGAAACAGGGAACGGTACATTATGTCTCGCCTTTACTGTTGACATTGGTTCATTGCATATGAAGGCAATATTAAATTTTAAATTCTTTAGGGCTGTAGCAAATTATTGGTACGAAATTAATCATTGTATAAAGGAAACCATGAAAAGTGTATGTACCTCTGTGCCGATGCATCTCCTCGTGCCCATCGCATTCACAAATTGCTTTTCTACTCCAGCTATTCCATTATTGCAGGGCTGCTGCTCACAACTTTGTCATAAATTCTCGACCCCAGAACTTTGCTTTACACTTTCGAATTCCTCTTGTTTGATTTCGCATTATGACATTCAAATTGAATCTCACATGCAAAATCCATGTGCTGAAATGCTGTATGCCTTCAATTTTTCCCCAGCCGAAGGTACAAGGGTGAAAACAAGCCCGCCAGAACTTGCGTCCCCTAATGATTCAAAGAAGAAGCTTCTTATTTTTGATTTGAATGGAGTGCTTCTGGGCAGTGCATTTACAAGGATGACCAGAAATCGGGACTTTAACTTCAGATCACGTTGCTTTGAATTTTTACAGGTCTGTCTGTCATATTTTGAGGTGGCTGTTTGGTCATCAAAGCTAAGGTATCTGCCAACCTATATTTGAATTACTTCATTAACTAGAACGTCCATAAGTTTTTCTGTTATGTTCTGAATTCAAGACAGTTGTGCTTTCTGCAGGCACAACATTCAACCAGTGTTGGACAGTCTATCCAAAAAAATGAATGAACGTTTGGAGCAGAGACTGTTATTTGTTTGGGTGAGATGTCATTCACAAATTACTTCGATTGTGTGTAGTCAGTCCGTGTGTAAGACTTCTGATAAATGAAAGTCGGGAACAATCAATATTGCGCAGGATCCGTCACGGTGCACTATGACACAAACCAGCCTTAGGGAAAATCCAGACAAAACGGTGATGTTTAAGGACCTGAAACATGTGTGGGGAGAATATAAGTCATACAACAGCTCTAACACGATATTAGTCGATGATTCTCCGTATAAATCCTTCCTTAATTCTGTAAGTGCACCATACCCACTGATCGTTATGTTGTATATATTCCGGTGTGCACAAACAACATGATCAGGGCTAACTGTTTCCATATTACTCATTCTTCAGCCGTACAATGCCATCTTCCCCACCTCTTATACATGTTACACTGTACAAGATAATTATTTGGGTAAGACGCGGTTCGCGATGCTTTGAAATGTGGCTTTTGCTACGATAAGCACAGGGTGAAAGATTGGCCTGACACAAAACTTATTTACAGATCCTGAAGGAGATTTTGTACGACACCTGAAGAAATTGGCCAGTGCTGATAATGTACAAGATTTCATTAAACGAAACCGTTTTGGACAATCACCCGTAACAGAAGGCGGTGTGGAGTGGAACTTTTATGTTAATGTTGTCAGCAAGCTTCGACTGCAGAACACAGCAAAGCAAGTGACGCGCAAACGGGAAGCCCCAAACAGATATTATCCGGAGGTATCCATTGCATTCATGTTCAGGAATATGTTCACAATAGTTCAACACCTCGTTATGATAGCTAAATTTGCGTCTGGTCATATGCACAGACCAAGAAAAAAAGGAAAATTTGAAAGCATGAGGAAGATCAGTGTTCACTGTACGGAAGCTTCTCCAAACCATTGGAAGGAGAGAACCTCTCTTCTGATGGGACACACAAGCAAAACTTTTGTGCTTTAGTGAGACACTGGGCCTGTCTAATTCATATATGTTGGTACTACTTTCTTCCCTTGTGTTTTTGTTTGCAAAGGCCCGTCGCTGAGTGTTTTTATGCAAATTCTAAAAATATCGAAGTTTGGAATGACGTATGTTGTCTGCACGTTCCGGAATGCACATGAGGAAAAATTATTAGATAATGCCTGTAATTGCTGTCAAATGCAGGATGCGTCAGCCATATACTCCTGCTACAAACGTTGGCATGTAGTAAGTTTAGCCTGTTTTCATTCTAATTGTTTGTTGGCAACTTCTCATCTAAACATTAAGGATCTAAATGTCACTCACTAAATCTGTCCGTCTAGTTAACCTGTCGAATACGTGCAATACTAACAGTTGGTCAGGGAGCAATGGTTGACATTAATTGAGCTAGGCTCCTTGCTTTGCGTCTATACCAAAATAAAGTCCAGCAATGAAAGAAAAGAAAAGAAAACAAACTTCTTTCCCTTATTTGAGCGTTGGAGAGATGTGGAAAGAACGAATTTTATGAGAATGCAACTTTACATATTTGCCCTTTCAATTTTTAAATCAAAGTCCAAAGTTTAGTTTTCTTGTTCCAATAAATAGAATATTTGAGTAAGACAAATTTCTAAAACAATTGCATATGCATTCCTACAACGTGAATAATAATAAGTTGCATTTCCAAATAATTAGTCGCTATTTTGTTCTTGCATCTTGAACTATTTGCCCAATTTTACTCAAATGTTAACTTTCACCTCATTGAGATTCCACATATATAAAATATATAATAACTCTTTTTCCAATAAAACCCCAACTGTTTATGGCTTTTCTCCAATATAAGAACATAGTACCCTTTTCCATAAAACAATTTATTTATCGAATAAAATTAAAAAAAATCAGTTGTCTACTAAAACACCAGCTCTTTATGGATTTTCTCCAAAATGAGTAAACAGAGTACCCATTTTCCCATACGCTAATTCAGGGGAGGTTTGTGAAATTATCCCGTATAATATATTTCTCGATATAATATTAATAAATTATATAATTTTAATTATATAAAATATTAGTTATGGGTGAAGAACGGAACAAGAGAATTACGGGTGAATTATAGGTGAAGAACGGAAAAATATTAGTTATTGGTGAATTATGGGTGAAGAACGGAAGAAAGCCCAGTTTTCTGATTTCTCAACTTGCTGGAAGTTGAGACAGTACATGACACAGGGAGCTTTGCAGCGCATTTACAAATTTATTTTAGGATATAGTGGGAATAATGAATTCTTGTATCGGACGACAAAATATAGTTAAAGGCGTTGTGTTATAAAAGTCAACCTCTTTATGCCTTTCTTCCTTTATACAGTCGCCAGTACCCAAGTTCCTCAAATACAAATTCATTTATCGAAAAGCGAAAAAATACACCCGTTGTTCATAAAAAAGGGCTTTCTTCCGTTAAACTGACACAGTCCCCAACGTGCATCAAATACAAATGTATTTATCGGATGAAATATAGTTAAAGCCGTTGTTGAATAAAGATCAGCTCTTTATGGCTTGCAACCGTGTTACACTGAGAAAATATCCAGGTGCCTTAAACACATGTATTTACCGGCTGAAATGTACTTAAACCCGTTGTCGAATACAAGAGCAGCTCTTTATGGCTTTCTCCGTTATAAGTACGAGATAACCATTTTCCGTTAAACAAATATTCATTTATCGGCTACGTGTAAATTAAACCCCTTTTCCAATAACACCGGCTCTTTATCGATTTCCTCCACTATCACAACAGAGTACCAATATCCCTTACATACTATTTCACTTATCGGATAAAAATGTATGGCTAATTTATTTGTTCGATAAAATCGGATCGATATTATACTTGAGTGCCATTTACCCGTTAGCATAGAATGCAAAGCAAGAAACTAACCTATTGCAGGTTTAAACTCCGTGTTAAGACAAATTGTTTCGGATACGTCAAGACACCTAATTCATAAACTCTCGCGAAACATAAATTTAAACGCGTTAATTATTAATTACCGCAAATCAAATATTTCAATCCTTTTTCATTTATTTCTAATGACTGCATACCATGGATCACTGTACGCTAGTCATAACCAACCACAAATCTTCTCTTAACTCTCGACCACATGAAGATTGTGGTACTCGTTATCCCCATGCCAAGGTCTCCCCACACCACCGCCGGCGAGTTTGCTCGGTTGAACTTTGCTTTCCCTTCCTCAAATCAAACTCATACATACACACCAACCGCTTGCCTTACTATGGCAGCTTTTGGACTCTCTGTCTCCGTCTTCTACATTTTAGGCTACGACGACGTCCATCCAATTATGACAGCCCCTATTACATGGCCCTTTCCACAAAATGCCGCTACTTTGTCTCTCTATCTTGCCACCTTCATCCAACCTCAACTTTATTCATCTCCACCCTCCTGTGCGTGTTCACTTTCCGCATAATTTGATGACGGACAACGTTGGCATCATCCAGAACCAAAAACAGTGCTACTTTGCACCGCTCCTGCTCCGAATTGTACTGCACCGATAAATTTGTTACTATCTCCATCGTTCGCAACCAATGCAAGCAAACACACTTACTGTTAAAGCACACGACGCCATTCCTTTTTCCTTACCTGATTCTATTTCCAGCTTCCAATTCCACTTGATAACATATCCATGTACTTCAGCATGAATAACCCACAATCCCACCTGCATTACAAACCATAACCACAAATTTAGACAACCGTTGCTGAACTATGCAAAAAAATTCCAAACCTATGCACATGCAACTTACGCATTCCGTTGCTGTGGACATGTGGCTGCAGCTTTTATTTTGTTCAGCCAAAGGCATGACGAATACTGCCCCTCCAAACCATAGGTCAGCGCTGTTTCCAACCTTTCAATCTGAGGGCCATACAAGAAAAACATATGCAATTTTAAGTTTACTGCCACCAATTGTAAAGGTGATGGCCGTGTTCATGAAATATTTGACAAACCAACTTAGTTTACCACTGTCTCCACGGAGCTGCGCCTATTCATATCCGTTTGCTCGTGTTCTCTCATTGAATCATAAATTAATACTTCTTCGCTTCCCATGTCCACCACACACATATACCAATGCTCGTCGTGCCATATTTGCACGAATATCTGAAGCATAACAGCGGTTAGTTAGTCATCATCATGGGAATCTGTATCTATTCCATTATGCTACATAACAGGGCAGCTTCTCGTACCTTCTCACACTTTTTTATATTACCTCCTACTTTACATTCCTGTAGGTATGTACAGTACAGCTCGTCTGCTGATTTGTTGAACTCCAAAATCTCTTGCTACAACACGATAGTAAAATATGACATTTTAATATGAATATACATACTCACTCCCCCCAACTTTGGTCGAACACTTCTACCTGAAACCAAGTTGGCATGAACCACCATCGCATTGACTGATCTACAGCACGCCTTTGCTGCCTTGCTGTTTTCATCGCACAATAGCAATTTATTATCTGCACCAAACTCAAGTCACATCACTTCGTCCTCCATGAAATAGTCCACATAACACCACCCAATTTCAAACCCTCGATTTACTCACATCACATGCCATGGGTTTTTGAGGAAGCAAGGACCCCATTGCATCCCGACTTGCTGTCTGCCCCTTAATTGACACCAGTACTTCCCTGTCATTACAACAGGGTACATTAATCTGTTCCCTATGTGTATTACGGTTTCATAATCTACAAACTTGATATCATCATTTTCAATGACTCGAGTTAAAACGGCCAGAGTAGGTTCGCTCTTCCTCACTAATACAACCAGCAATCACGGTTTCAATGACTCAATCGTTCCTTAGGCGTGCTGTGGGTTTGCCTAAGGCGGTTATGTACTCACCATAAGGGTCATTGAGTTATCATTGTAGTTCCATTCTCAAACTTCTGGAATACTCACCTTTTATTCTATATGCAAACATGTTACCTACCCTTGCTTTTTATATAAGCAAGCATGATTGACAGCACACAAATTGTGAGTTTTATGCTCACTTGTAAACCAATTTTAACTGCTTCCAAGATTTTCGTTCCTATGCCCTCTCCCCTATGGGGATAATCATACTACATATTTAGTCAACCTTATAATTGCAAATACTTTTTTGTCCCCTTTCCCATTGCAATTTCAAATAAGGGATAAAACAAAATAGAACTGTTGATTTAACAAATCCATGATCCAGTACATACCCTTGCGACATCTGAGTGTCAAACAAGAACTTCAATATTTTTGCTCGTCCCTCACTCAATTTTTCGCCGATAGATGCCAGCCTCGTTTCCTGCTACCACAAAAATATGTCATCTTTCATTGTCTATAATTTCCCATACTTCAGTAATTCTGGAACGTTGGAATACTCACCTTTGCCAATAAAGCAACCATCTTCGTTTGACACTTGTTCATCCCACTGCTATCCATCTGCACATAAAACTACAATTTATACTTTACTTTTCTAATGCTAGAAATACCTTGGCACAAATCGATGCATACCTTTATTCTTTTACCTTGCCTTCTGTTTTGTTTATCTTCCCACACAGGCTTCTCCGTATTGTCCATGATTAGTCTCTTTCTACTCCTTCACTTTGTAATTTTCGATGCACTCTTTTCACCCATTACAGTACTATTCGTAGTGACTCTATCATTTTCACTCCTGCTTTTGGACCTAACATCTGGCGTTGTAGGACTAAATTTATGTAACTCACTCCCTCTTTTAACATTACCGCTCCAATCATCCTTCTGCCCACCCTCCACACCAAGTGCCCGGTTTGTTTTGCACACCCTTCCACTTTCATACATGCTCCTCAGCCTTTCAAAACGACATTCAATCATTGCTTCCATTCTACCAATACTATCCTTCACATCTTTATTACCACATTCAATTTCAATCAGTTTTCTTTCAATGTCTTCTCTACAGCTTATGTTATTGTAAAACTGCACATTGCCCTGTCACTACAAGCCTTCAGTTTTGTACTACTAGTAATGTCACAAAATGTAGATTGCAATTTCAACAACAATTCACACGAAAGGATTTTACATTACCTGTTCCCCCTCAAATATGTGATTCCTCCTCAATATTCGCACGCTTTCATTAATCTCGTACCTTCCCCAAAATCTTAGCCTCGGCCCTCTCGGCTGGAACTTGCGAAACTCGTCCTCACCCTCGATATAGAATCGTTCCAGATCGTAAATCTGCAGGGACAAAAACGCCTACCATTATTTACGGGTCTTTTCTATCAAAGTTTAATTTCATTATTCCAGCAATTCCTATCTCTAATACAAAATGGTGCGTCTTTCTTATACCATCAAGAAAAGTGCACATCCCGCTATTCCGTTGCCGTCTCTATCACGGATGCTCTTCACCAAATTGTCAAGTATGAATTTCGACCAGTTCAAATTTTCCATATTCTCCGCTATAGCCACTACAGCCACCAGATCCTGGCTCACTGTGTCATCCAAACTTGGTGCTAACAACCTACCAACAACAAACAGTATGAACTTCACTTTGAATTCTAAGCCTTCGTTATGCAAACTACATATACTGTGCCTCAATTCCTCCACTACAATTTCACCGCTATTTATTCTGATATTCAATTCTCTTTCCAACTCTGTATCCATCTCTTGCCTTCGCTTTTCGCTTTCAATATCTTTCCCACGGCTGCTAAAGCCAAGTACACATTCCACATCCTCGGCTGTCACCTGTAGACAGTACCCATGAACGTTCAGTATCCTCCGATCTACATCAAAGTTATCCACCAGCCACTTCAACATCTCTTCGTCAACATCTACTCCCTTCACATTCAAAATTGACCCGAATCCAAACTCTCTGACAGCCTGCTGCTGCTCATCCGAGATCCAATCCATCATATTCTTCACGGAATGAGTTGAGTGGCTTACCATTGTTTCCGCCGTCCGATGAATGGCATTCCTTTCACTGCTACAACTTTTATAATTCGAAGGTGTTCCACTCTCATGCATCAGCGATACTACCATTGTTTCCGCCGTCCGACGAATGGCCTTCCTTTCACTGCTGCAACTTTTATAATTCAAAGGTGTTCCACTCTCATGCATCAGCGATACTACATTTTCGCTTTCTCCTTCACTGTCCCACTGCATATCCGAAGCATCTATTTCCGCCGCCAGCTCCATAACAAATCCCTATCTCTGCTATTCCGCCTGCTCCGATTTTGGCGCTTCTTCCTTTCTAATACGCCTACACTGTTTAGCTTATCCAGTAAGTTTCGCGCCTTTTTTCCCTGCCGTACTTTCGCGTACAAACCCTCACTTTCCCGGTTGCTTAATTTCGCCCCCTCCACATTTCACACGCGCGGTTCGAGTCCCCTTCAACGCCCAATAGATCTTCCGGTTGCACGTCACAAAAGCCCTTTCCACGTGCCAGACCAACACACTTCCCCTACCGTTTGTGGCCCGTAATGCTTGAATGTCTTTTCGCTGAAATTTTCACACCTCTGTTTTGACATCTAAACATACTGCAGCAACATCCATAATGTTATATTATTCAATATTAATGTAATTAGGAAAGCCACATAAATTGAAAGAAACAAATACTATGAAAGTTCAAACATGATGGGGTCAATTATAATTGACCGAGGGAGTAGAGATGACGTATGCTAAAATTGCCACTTGTAACTAAATTCAGATTTAACAAAAACAATGTCAAAAAAAAAAGAAAAAAGAAGAAACACTATTGGCAATTTTCCTTTAAAACTAAAAGCCGTATTTTCGGGTGAATAAATGGCCCAAGATGTACATTTATTTATGGTTTCCCTGGAAAAAGAAAGGCCATCATTTTGCTTCATTTTTGAAGGGAAAATAAACCAATACATGATAAAAATAGTTACAGAGGAATCACTAAAAATAGGGGTGTTTTTGAAAAATTTTGTTGTAGCAGAGTTTTTAGATTATATTTTGGGATATTTTCAAAAAATATTTTGGGATATTTAAGAGTAAAAGAGTTTCTAGAATATATTTTGAGATATTTTTTAAACATTTTAAAGAAATTTAAACTAGTTTTTAGATTATCTTTTAGAGTACTTTTTAAAAATTTTTATTGTATTTGAAAAATTAGTTTTTGAAAAACACTCCCATCCAAACAGTAATGATTGGAAATGAGAGTTCAGGGAAGAAATGGATTGGGTGATATGAAAGAGAGTGTGTAAATGAGAGATTTCAAATTTGAGACCCCACTTACACTTCAAAAAAAAAAGAGTTCAAGTTTTTGAAGAATTGAAATAATGGATGTGCTGCAGTGACGACAAGTTACCTCACGAAATACTAAAATAGTGCTAGTTACAGATAGTTGTCTAAGTTACCCACCTTAGCAACTATTTTGGTCCTTTAGCGTCTTTTCTGATTCCATTAAAATAATGATTATAAATTCTGTGTAAATTTTTTAAACTAAAATGGTAAGTTTGTTTACTAAACTAGTAACTTTAATCATTCATAAAATTTACTAATTTATTTGTAAAACTTACCATTTTTTACAAAAGCTTACCATTATTTGAATTAAACTTACTAATTATAATTGTTGTAACTTTCTTAAGTAAAATGGTAAGTTTGTGAAAGAAAGTAGTAAGTTTGGACAATTCACCAATTTATCATTTTATTTATAAAACTTACCATTATTTCTTTAAACTTACTAATTATAATTGTTGTAACTTTCTTAAGCAAAATGATAAGTTTGTGAAATAAAGTAGTAAGTTTGAACAATTCTCCAATTTACCATTTTATTTGTAAAAGTTACCATTATTTGAGTTATACTTACTAATTATAATTATTGTAACTTTCTTAAGTAAAACGGTAAGTTTGTGAAATAAAGTAGTAAGTTTGGACAATTCACCAATTTACCATTTTATTTGTAAAGCGTACCATTATTTGAATTAAACTTACTAATTATAATTGTTGTAACTTTCTTAAGTAAAATGGTAAGTTTGTGAAATAAAGTAGTAAGTTTGGACAATTCACCACTTTACCATTTTATTTGTAAAACTTACCATTTTTCAACAAAAACTTACCATTATTTGAATTAAACCTACAAATTATAAAGTAGTAAGTTTTATTGAAGAAGTAGTAACGTTCGATATTTAAAGAGTAAATTTTATATCACACTTATAATTTACCAATTTTATTATCAAAGTTACCACATTACCACCTAATATTACTTTGAATATTGGAAACCTGAATGAACAGTAGTGCAATTGTCCTTAAAGATACCAATATTGGATGCGGGGACCACTATTAATTGGTCATAACAGTATTTTAATATAAAATATTCACAAGTTATGGTAACGATCGCCACTGTAGCATTATCTTGAAATAACAGAAAGACCGCAAATGAGAATTGAAATGGATGAGGGTCTTGTAACCGTCCTTAGTTGTTCATGATATACATAGGATCAGGCGTAAGTCTGATTAGAATTTTAATGGAATTGTCCAATTGTTGTATTTTTTGCATAATACGGGTTCTTTTATATAATTTTATTGTTCTCACAAAATTTATTCTTATACACTAATTCAATATATAAATACAATTGCATCTTTAAGTGTACACTAAGTTGTGAACGTAATATAACAAATGTACCTAATTGTATCTAACTCAACCATACCTGTCCGATTCCGTGTAGATCAAGATAATTGTATCTTGTACCTAATTGTATCTAATGAGTGTGGATTGTCTTCTATTTCACTTTATTTACACCTTATTTACACACACTAATTTGCTTACATCATCAACTCATTTTTCAATCACCTTTTTATCTCACATACATCAAATTAAAAAAGTGCTATAGTATTTTTTCATAAAATTATCTCAAATAATTTACAATCCAATCACACTTGTCCGGCATGGGTTAATAAGGTAAAATCCTCGAGCAAAAAACAAAAGGTATAAATTACATCAATTCGGTCCATTTGTGCCATTAACAGTTTCTGGCGATTTGTGAGTTGAGACACGGCTGTGATTCTCCTAGCCTAGCTGGTGAGATATAGGCATAAGGATTAATTTGGCATATATCCATATCATGACATGAAACAAAATGCGTCCCTCTAAATTTGAGGACTAAATTAAGAACTTAAAGACCAAAAATTTTTTGGCAGTTTCAGCAATGTGTTTCTCTTCCTTCCTTTTATCTTTGTATTCATTTTTTTTCAAACAATGAAGTACACAAGGTGGGATATCAACACACAAGGAACAATTTTATCAATTTTCTTGTATTCCTTTTGACCGGTAAAAAATCTAACAAAAAATTACCAGAAGTGAGAGATTTTTATATTGTTTGTTTTCTGGTAATGCATTTTCTCTAGTATTTTCCTTTATTATTTAGTTATTCTGTTTCCTTTAATGGCTGTTTTAGAACTGTTTTCTTAATGGCAAGAGAAAGTATCAATCAGTTTTGAAACCCTTCGTATTCCAACAATTCAAAAACAGTATGCTATGAATTGTATAATTACCTTTCTGAAAAGCTCCATTTCTAAGCACATCAATTCTTGAATAATGACAAAAATGCTAGCGAAATTTTTAAATTTTCTGCCACAAAAAG